AATGCAAATGTAATTACTTGTACTGGCCCTCACACTTGCTTAGCACCTAACCACATTAACACTGGGGTGGTAGGGAAGAAAAAAAGGAGAGCCATAGAGGCTCAGGACAGAAAATGGAGACGATGAAGAAATGCAAATTGGCAAAAAATAAAGTGAAGTTGAAAGGTGATTTAGATAGCGGGCGGGGAGAAAAAAGAAAAAAAAGGCAGGATGGAGGAAATTTGAAGACATTTTAGGGAGGGATCGGAGAAGGATGATGAAAGGAAGGAGAGGAGGTGAAATGTCAAACAAGAAATGAAGTGAAAGTACATCTAGAGCCAGTTATGGAAAAGATGTTGGGGAAAAACTAATTGTAAGCACGAAGTTCTCGCGGTCAAGTATTGTTCGGTTCTCATAGGGAAGGAACTGAAGGTACGTGTTGTTGTGGCTCGACGGGTGAGTTAGAGACTAGCACCCAGAATGTTATCTGGAGGTAGCAATGAGTCCTGAAAGCATTCCATTATATTATTAGGTTAGTACATCTTACACTTTTTGACAGTTGTAGTCCTATCACACATGCACCACTGTGTACATTTCATCCATAGGTTGGGTTTGGTTGTTTGTTTTTTGGAAAGCTAGGTGGATACAGTTTGCGTTTTTCGTATTTATGTTATGTCAACGTCCAGATGGGTAACGGATTAAAGGAAAACCTGGATCAAAAGTTAGGAGACTCATACAAGTGCCTATACAAACCAAAAAGCTGTACCCTGATTAATTTTTGGCCACTATCCCCATTGAAGTAGTCTCCTTGTGGAGTGATGTATCGCTCCTGGTGCTTCTGCGACACTTGACACTCCCTGGAGCGCCTGCTATGTAAATGTGTCTGGCACCATCTGCGATTGCCGCTGAGTGTCCTAAATTGTGTCCAAATGATCACCCGATTTTGATTTTGAGGAAGGGGTAGAAGTCCTACGGAGAACGGTGGAGCACTCTCTTGCCATGGCGCCATAGTTTCTGTTCTTTCCACCAAATGTTCTCAATGAGATACCTCATTACGTGACACCTTGATGTTACTGCCTTAATGGTTTGTCCCTGGAGAAGTATCTACTGGTGCAGAACCACATAAAAAGCATAAGTTCTTCCACTGTGAGACATGCTGTTTCTTCTCCTGGTGGTAGCTGCAGACCCACCTTTCGTCACCAGTGATGATCCTCGAATGGTTGGCTCATCCTGGGTTGTTCATGAAACAGTTTACTGTCTTGCAAATGCGGCCTAAATAGTAATACAGGCCCTGGTCTCGATGCTGCATTGTCACTCGACATCCTGACTCTTGACAGTTTCTACTCGCATATCTTGCACGTGTCATACAAAGACTCGGAAGTTGCTGATCATACCCTTGTACAGTGAGCAAATCCTTTAGGAGGCATTTGATTTAAGGGTCACTGCGAATCAATACACAGCTGTTCTGAGAGATCACCTTTATCCTATGATGAAACATTTCTCTCCTGAAGGGAGCTGTTACTTCCAGGATGTCAGCGCCCCCTCATCTAAAGGGTCACAAGGGGTCACTGAATAGTTTGATGAGCATGAAAGAGAATGATGAATCACATGCTTTGGCCTTCAGTCACCACATCTCAACCCAAATGAACACCTATGGGGGGATCTTGGACAGATGTGGTAGGCATCTCTCTCCACCACCATCATCTAAACACCAAATGATGGAATATCTTTAGGAAAAATGGTGTTCGTGCCTCCAGTAGAGTTCCAGATTCTTGGAGAATCAATGCCACTGAAGCTGGTTACCAGCATGGATGGCCTTACGAAGACACTTTATGTTGGGTCTTTCTTTAAGTTGTCACTCATCTATAGTTTAAACAAAAATACTTACCGATTGACTTTTGCTGTGCATGTGCAACGCAACAAAATCGAGACCAAGAATTTAAAAGATGTGCACACAAACTATAACCCCATCAGCTACCTCAAAGTGGAACGCAAAGGGCTCCAACAAAAAACAAACAGACGAAGAGCAAGAGAAAAACTTGGGCGAACGAGGGGGAACGCTAAGAAGAGGAGAAGTCGCATTTAGGGACAACAGAACGATTTAGGGATGGAAAGACGCTGTGGACGGAGGGATGGAAAAACAGCAGGAGAGATTGCAGTTTCTACCCTGCCAGCCACTGATGGACTCAGGAGGACACGAGTGCCTCGGTTCTGCTGTGCCTGAAGGACAACTGGAGCTGTTTATTGCTAAATGACTTCTCTTGCCCCTCTCTTTCTCCTTCTCATTTTCTCTCTCCATCTCCCTCCCTCTCTCCATCTGCGGGATAGTTTGCCACATCAGCTGTTCTCCAACCCCACTGAAATGACCCCTCAAGGAAACGTAATCCTCGTTGTGTGTGTTCAGGCGTGGACGCACACACAAAGTGCTTATGTGCTGTTCTCACATGTATTGTATTCTGCAAGTTCGACCAACTGTCACTGCCCACTCTTGTGGTCATACGCAGGTTCAGATTCTATTTATATATTCAAAAAAAAAAATATCAAAAGTATCAAGTCATTTCAACAAACACGCGGAAAATGAACTTTTTTTGGTGGGGGGTCTTTTTTGAAGAACAAGCACAAAATTGATAGAAATGGAAGGTTTGCTTGTGGGTGTCCATACAGTACATTTTTACATTGTAGTACAAAGCGTGAATAGGATTGACTGATAAAGTGACGTTCCAAGCGTCTATCAATAGAACTATCACGAGAATGTTTGATTGCTTCACTGAAATATATTTAAATCGCTGTGACAGTGCATAACAAAAATGCAAAGTTCAGTTAAATGAACAAACCCCAAATATACTCCTTCAGTAGCTCATTACCAGCCGGGCATGTGGCGTCTGTACAGGTCGCCTGAGATGTGCCGGTCTGCCGCTGTCTGGGTCTCTGGTCGCCCACAGCCATGCTTACAAACCTCCCTCGGTAGAGGCTTTAGCTGGTGAAAAATGGTGGCTGCTCTTGCTTGATGCACTCCACCACGCTCACCTAACTCTCGGCGTGCTCGATGAAGGCCTGACGGACTTGACGTTGGGGTCCCCGTTAAGGCAGTGCAGGGTCCTTGGTCGATGACATTCGGTCCTGGCGAGCTTTTTGGAACCTGAACCACCGGTGCAATGTAGCAGCTTCGCCCCTTATTGGATTTATGTCTTATGGGTTGTTATTTGAACTTGTGCAGCACTTTGGTCCAACTCCTGTTGTTGAAAATGTACTTTAGAAATTAAGTTGACTTTAACTTGAGCTGATTTGGTCACCCTCCATTCACCTACAGCTTTTACTGGATTTCTTATGTGTATCAAGATGAAATCATTCCTTTGTCCATATTTGATTTCACTTATTTGTTTGACTTTCTTTATTTGGATATTTTTCAATGATATGTTAATGTTAAAATTATTCAAGATTCAACACAGTTATATATGGTATAACACACAGTGAAATGCTTTAGTTACGTACTTCGATAAAAAAGGCTGAAGTGGTTATATTCAAGGTAAGGCGGTGGAATTCTAATTAAACCCTTTTCTCACTGGTCTTTACGAAAAATAGTTCATCAATAATTGTCAATGTCGGCTACTTTTACTGTAAATAGATTAAGATTTTCATCTCAGCCTTAAGTGTAAAGAATAAATCTTAACTTTAACAAGGTTCCAGTTAAATGTTTTGCACTCCATTCTGTGCAGACTGTCAATGCAAACTTTCAAACATACAGTTTTTCAAAAATGTGACTTCTTAATTTTACGACCCAACAGGTTTAGAAAGAAGGGGAAAAAAAATCTTCAGTTTATTTGTCTCATTCTGTTTCCACACTGTATAGTAGAGAATACATTGAATAAGCTAGAACCTTACCTTTTAATGCTGCCTGTTTGAAAACATATATATTTAAATTCCCGTCACTCCCTGGTGCAACAGCTCAAACACAGAGTAAATGAACATATTATTGACCAATAAGTGCAACAAGATCAGTGTTAAAAGAGTCACAGTGTTAAGAAACAACTGTAAAATAATAACTTTCAAATGTTTTTTGCACGCAAGGTACCAATCTAATACTTAGATGACCATTTAGGGCTCAGCAGGCCCGGTGTCCGTCTCTCAGTGTTCAGCTGTGTGTAATAGCTTTATGAAAACACCTCTCCTACCTTTTAATTTCCAAGCTGGCATTATCCAGTCTACATGAGGCACAGTTACTCTTTGAAGGGAACAATAGTGAAATGAAAACCTGAGCCATCAGCACTTTGGAGTATTTTTTATTCATCCACCACTTCACACCAAAATTTTGAGGACAGGACCCATTCAAGGCTCGCCTGTTACTTCCTTAGAGGCACGTTTCACAATCGGCCCTTTGCTTCGCCTCCAAGGCCAGATCCAGTGCATGTTTTGTCACGCCGGTGTTCATTAGGTCGCCTATTACTTTATTCACTGTTTTCAAAGATGGCTCTGGCTTTTTGTGCGACGTGCGAAATGGGCACTGGCAAACACTTGAAGTTTATAATGGCTGTGGCACTTTTGCAAAAAAAAGTGAAATTTCAGACCTTGTGAACGTGTGCTGTGATACACCGGCTGTCGAGGCAAACGGCTGCGAGACAGCGGCGTGAAACAAACGACGTTAGTTTTCTCAACAAGGGATCAGTTTCATAGCTTATCGAACATATTACAGAGAACTGTGACAAATGTTCCTGAAATAAAATATCTACACAATCCCCTTAGCTTTTACTTTTATTGCTTTGCCTTGCATTTTGTTGTTATGTGGTCGTCCCGGGTTCACAGGAGTGATTTACTAGTCTGACCTTCACGCTCCTTGCTGTTAGTTGCATATTATTCATACAAAATGTTTGAAGCCTGTTTCATTTCTGCATTCATTCATGTTGGGAATCAGAAAAAAAGGCTTTAAAATATTAAAAAGCGTATCACAGATCAAGTATTTAAAGGTTTTCTGGTGTTTTCGATGGAGCCTCAGTCCATACTGACTTGATTTTTCTTCTCCTCAGGACAACTATACGTTTGCTCAGCCAGGCATCCAGAGGAAAGTCAAGGCCCTGGAGGAGCTGGTCAGCAGGATTGATGGTGAGTTGCCCGCCTCGCGTCCATCCATCCATTCATCCATCCATCCATCCTTCTACCCATCCATAAACTACTTTATCTTCACAGTTCTTCCATTATAACACGATATCCACTGAACTTCCTTTTCTCTGTCCTGTTGCTCCTTTGCTGTTTCTTTCTTTAATGTATTACTTTTTGCATTTTTTCAGCCTTTTCTGTCTCATGCAAAACATAGAAATACACTTAAAGACATAATCCAGAATCAGCCTAATTTACTCTTTGCAAATTTATTTGAACGCAAATTAACAAAAATGTGTTGATCTCGTCCTATTCTAATGTCTGTTATCCCACAAGATCACATTGTTATTGAGCAAGCTTTAACTGATGAATCACAATTAACAATTGAACTGATTAAAAATATATTAATCAATAAGGCAGAAGGAGATGAACATGCAGGTTAGAAAACGTGCTTTGCATTAGCTGTAGTACCTGATTGTACCACCAGGTGGAGCGTCTATTTAATTAGATGAAGACTGCAGTTTATGCGCTGTGTTTAATACTCTAGCTAAGCTGTAGTTGAGGAGGTGGAGCGATGGACAGTTCCATCTTGCGAGCAAACAGCATTATGGGGGCTTAGCTATATTGTGAAAATTACGTTAATGACGTGAATTTTAGAGATTTTATATGTTTCGTCAAATTGCAGATAATTTCTTGTACAAACACATGAAAAATTGAATAATTTACGTTACCTCTTTAAAAAAAAAAAAATAATAATAATAATTTAAAAAGGCCAAAACTGTACGTAATGTCAGAAAATCTACATTTTTAAAAATATGTTTTTTAGCAACATTTGGCCGTAAAATTACAAAACATATTTTTACTGCAAAACAATGTAGATTAAGGGTTGAGAGCGGTTGTGGTAATTCGTTTTTACCATCAAACTGATTTTGAACATGAGATTATTCACAGTTTCTGTTTGTTTGTTTTAACAGTGTGGCAACAGGTCACCACAACAAAGGCTTCTGTGGCAGTTAATGGCTTCTGACCAAAGCTCATCTATTGAAGGCGAGCTCGAGTCTGTGACGACAGTGTTTTTCCAGTTGAATAGCTCATGAAACAAATCGCTTTGCAGTAAAAGTCTGCGGTTAAAAATATCTCTGTTAGCATATGGAATAATGTCTCGAATAGGTCCATTCAGAAAGAATCAGAGAACGATCAGAGAATTGTTTATAATTTGGGTCTCTGTCACTAGTTGTGTCTAGTATTGTTCCAATCAGTGAACTCTATGGAGTTTAAGGGAAATCTTAACCAAATGCATGTAGGAATACTTAGAGTGTGAGTCCCATTGTGCTCTCTTGCCCCCATGATACCAACATTAAGCAGGGCTTTCAGTCCATTCATTTCCTGTTCAAGGCTGTGTTCAGCTCCTGATGCTTGTTGCAGAGACGAGGGGCGGTGATCGGATGTGATTTGACACCAAAAATGAATCAGGAAATAATTCAAAAACTGCCTTTCCACTTACCTCTTCCGCTCTCTTTACTAGTTAGAATTCTTGTGTTAGCACTAGATACACACCAGCAAGTAACAATTGTTTTCACGCCTTGATTCTTCCGGATTTTTTATTTTTTTTTGTCAGTTTGTAACGACATGACACTACAGTCGTATCTCGCTAATTTTCATTCCACTCGGCTGCCTGGTGATGTGTATGTGCTGCCGCAAAACAGTGGCCTGCTGAGGCCCGCGCGTTAATGTATGCACACTGAGCGTACGCAGCTCAATGACATTTCACACAAACTCAGTGTTAATTAGCTAAGCTACTTTTCCCTCTGTGGCCCCTACTTGTCGGTTCCATTTTTTCTCAACACGGTACATGTGTCACCTGGTTTGAATAGTTTCCCCGTCCAAACTTTGTCGCTTGGAAACGCGCGTGGCGTTTGCCGCAGTCCATGATGCATTGTGGAGAAAAGAAAAAAAAACAACAAGGTCTTATCAAAGCAGGCTTTTGTACAATGGTCATGTTCTCGGCTAACCTTGGTGCTGTCCGACTATCCTGTCACCCGCTCTGTCAGCCAGAGGGAGGGGAGGACTCACCCGCTGCATTCAAATGGATGGCGAGAGGGTGATGCGTGTGTGTGCAGGAGTGTGAATGTCAGAGAAAGTTAAGGAGTGCGTGGAGGCCTGTTAGAAGAAGCTTGCCGATGGAAAGAGCACGCATGTGAGGCGGCGGTATGCTGTGAGAAGATGTGTTAGAGTGTGTTTTCTGTCTGCGTCTATAAAAAAACAACACTGAAGCAAAAGAAAAAAGCCGTCCTCCCTCCTCGTCCCCGCTCCACCACGCCCCGGCAACGGTGTAAAAAATGACTCGACGTTTTTACTGTATCTTATTCCATAAGTGCCCTGTCATCATAGTTGGGGCAGAGACATTTTATACCTCGCTAGCTTGACATTACCAGCTCTAATGAGATCACAGATAGCTTTTATCTTGTGTTACGGGATTGTTTTTCGCCCCGCTGTCGACATAGCATCTGTTTTGGGAACAATGGCCTCTCATCTCTTCCAAAATTACCTATCAGCGCTTATCAGATGCCGGGTTATCCAGAGTGGGGGCGCGTTTTGATAAAAGGCGGGGACCTGCCTCCTCCTAGCAGGCGGAGGATTCGGGTGTAGAGGCGGTTTCTCAAATCCCCCACACAAATCCCAACTAATTTTCATGATCGTTTCTACTCTTCTGTTTGTTTTGCGTTCGGTTTTCTTTCGTTGTTGATCCATTACATTCCAGAACAAATTGTATTTAATCTTGAGGCTCATTAATTTGAGATTTGTCGCGCAACTTATCACAAATGAACGGATCGATTATTCTCCGACAGAGCGAGTTAGTAACCTTCTCAAAAAGGAAAAAAACAAAAAAAGAAGGGCATTGGCTGTTACTATGGGACTCTGGTGCTCTGTTTCAGCCTTGTATCAGGCTGATATCTGATACGGGGATGTTAGTAGGCGATGGCGTATTTACTAAGACAGTGGAAGGAGAGACACGGATGGCGGGAAGGAGGTAGTTTGGAATGTTGTTGACCTCAGCTTATTATTTCGTGGCATTAATATTTCCAGCACTGGGTCGGCTCAGATAGGACTTTGCTGATCTGTCTGTCTCTGGCTCACTTTCTGTGTCACCTTCTCTCTGGTTCTTTAAAATGACTGCATGTGGGGAAAATTTACTGTACACTCACAGAAAGATTATGTCCAATGTGTTCTCTGGATTTGTGCCATAAAGCTTCTGTAGCTATTTTGGAGGACTTTTGTGATAGTGAGGCAATAGACGAAGGTAACAGAAAAGTAAACGCTTTGTCAATAGTGAGTTGTGGCTTTAAATAAATGTGAATTATTATGTGTAGTCAGACTGCCTCCAGCCACTATTAAGTTAGTTTTATTGTCACAAACTCTGTTGCTATATGATGCAGCATTGGTTGCAAATTGTAAACAACGGTTCACATATTAAGGTGCAAAACTGTACATTTACTAACTGACAACTCCAATATATTAAGATAAAAATTAAAAAGAGAGCTTAGAGCCACGTTTCTATTACTGTAAACCTTTAACAAAATGTAACGTTTAGCTTCCATATTTAAAGAAGTGCTATTTTATATTCATTTTATAGTCTGACAACAGAAACAGAACAAATGAGAACAGCTTCGTTGACAATCTGACTGAATTAAAACACAACATATGCGAACACAGCGGGAGGCAAACAGATGTCTGCGCTTAATATCACCGGTGTGTTTCTCTTAAGGTGCTCGTTTTTATCGGTTGATCAATCAAGTGCCGTTAATTATTTAATGGATTCAAGATATATCAACAAAAAAGGTAGAAGATGACGGACGTGCATTTAAGAAACTGTATTCTAGATTAGCTGTAGTACCTGATTGCGCCACCAGGTGGAACTTTATAATGTTTAACACTGTAGTGGAACAAGAAAATGGTCACTTGCACTGATGGCAGTTCTGTGTTTGCAAGCAAGCAGAGAGCATTATGGGTATTTAGCTTGTAAAGGGCCACCATGACAAAGTCCGCTGCGCTGCTAGATGCCTCCCAGACTTGTGTAGATGAGCTGAAGTGCGCTAAGACAGCATCACTATGGCCTAATCTGTGCCACTGGAGCCGCCAAGTCATGTGACACAAACCAGAACACAGAGTGACGCTCATTAAGTGCATTTTGTGATATTCAATAAATCAATTGCTGATTACTGATTAAGAAATTTGCTCCAAGTTTAAATCAGTTTCTTCATCCGTGTGTGCTTTCACTTCTGAGAAAACCGCTCCAGCTTTACATACTGTAGGTCTGAATGGCCAAAGTGACGGCAGCAAAGAGGTCTCACAACATTAACATGGCGTGATTTTTACAGTCTAAAGACAGCCATAAATTTCAAGGTTTTAAGGATACGCTTTAATAGCCATAATGTCTCTCGTTTATGCCTTGGAACGGAAAACACTCCCCTCTCCCTCTACTCTGATATTTAAATGAGTGTCAGGGTGAGGCCATGCTCTAAAGAGCATTTATGCTCAGTCAGGATTACCAGCTAAAGAAAACACAACTTAGTTTTTTGATTGTTAAGCTCGTTTTACTTGTCTTCTGGGAATCCGGTTGGAAATTAAACTTGATGTAAGGAAGCCAGAAAACTACAAGCCTTTGTTAAAAAATCAAACACTTTTATTTCCTTCCTTTGATTCTTTTTCTTGGAAACTGCTGGTGACATTGTCGGAAGCGTTATACTTTGAAATTTCCATGTTTCCCTCTCTGCTTGCCTGTCTCTCAAACTCCCCCCCCCCCAACCCCTCTGTAATTATCCTACTTGTAATAAGTGACGCTAACTCCCATTAGCCTTGCTTGACGCTAGCACATGTACCTCCTCAAAAGACAAGCCACTTTGTCAGCATGTAATGTTTCTCTGATCTCTTTATCTCTCCTTTATCTCTCTGTGTATTTGTTGCATGGAAGTGCATTAGAACGAGTTCATCAACATGCAAATTGC